GGGGGGGGAGAGGTCGGTCTAGAGCTAAAAGCCTTTGGTCAGTATTGGGGAATATATCTCTTCCCAACCCATCACTGTAGGTTCCACTGTAATCTCTACAGCTTCTTCGTACAAAAGTAGCGTGCTTCCTTTGCTCTCCCGGTCTGGGCCCAGACCCTGCTTTTTATATCCTCCCGTCGACGATACCACCTTTGGGGGGAGGGGGAGGTTGGTTTAGGTGTCTGTGCGTGTCTCTGTGTGTGTGTGTCTGTGTGTGTGCGTCTGTGTGTGTCTGTGTGTGTGTCTGTGCGTGTCTGTGTGTGTGTCTGTGCGTGTCTGTGTGTGTATGTGCGTGTATTTGTGTGTGTGTCTATGCGTGTCTATGTGTGTGTCTGTGTGTGTTTGTGTGTGTGCTTGTGTGTGTGCCTGTGTGTTTGTGTGTGCCTGTGTGTGTGTGTGTGTGTCTGTGTGTGTGCGTCTGTGTGTGTCTGTGTGTGTCTTTGTGCGTGTCTGTGCCTGTGTCTGTGTGTGTCTGTGTGTGTCTGTGTGTGCCTAAGTCTGTGTGTGTCTGTGTGTGTCTGTGTTTGCGTGTGTGTGTATGCGTCTGTGTGTGTATGTATGTGTCTGTCTGTTTGCGGGTTGGCAGAGGGCTATGTGGAGGGAATGAAAAATAATAGTAATAACAAAAGCAAATAATGCACTCGTTTGCAAGGAAAATGAGTGAGATCAATTTTCACCAATCCACAAAGAACACACAAACTGTAGACCAATGGATACGATGGGATTCGTTGATTGGTTGATTGATTGATTGATTGATTGATTGATTGACTGATTGATTGATTAGTTTATTGATTGATTGATTGATTGATTAGTTTATTGATTAATTGATTGATTGATTGATTCATTGCGACCGGAAAGATTGATTGATTGATTGATTGATTGATTGATTGTTTGATTGTTTAATTCATTGATTGAATGAGGCAAACATCGAAAGAAGAAGAAAAAAAAGAAGAAGACAAAAAAAAAAGAAGTAGAGAAAAGAAAGAAGAAGAAAAAGAAGAAGAAGAAAGAGAAGGAGAAGAAGAATGAAAAAGATGTTTGTGTTTGTGTCTGTGCGTGAGTGCGTCTGTGTGAGGATTGTGGGGGAGGAGAAGGTTGGTAAAGGGCTACAAGCCTTTGTGTGTGTCTGTGTGTGTCTGTGTTTGTGTCTGTACTTGTGTCAGTGTTTGTGCTTGTGCGTATGTGTGTCTGTGTGAGGGTTGTGGGGAGAGGGAGGTCGGTATAGGGTTACAAGCCTTTGTATGGAGGGGGAGGTCGGTATAGGGCTATAAGAAGAAGGCGGGGGAAGAAGAAGAAGAAGAAGACGAAGAAGAAAAGGAAGAAGAAGGCGGGGGGAGGCAGAGAAGGCTGGCGGAGGCGGAGGAGGCGGGGGGACGGAGGAGGAGGCGGAGAAGGCGGGGCGAGGAGGAGAAGAATAAGGGAGGCAGGAGGATGCGGAGAAGAAGGGGGGAGGCAGGAGGAGGCGGAGAAAGCAGGAGGAGGCGGAGAAGGCAGAGGGAGTCTAGGGGAGGCGGAGAAGACGGAGAAGGCGGAGGGAGATGGTGGGAGGATGCGGGAGGAGGAGATGGCAGAAGAGGGTGGAGAGGCGGAGAGGGTATAAGGCTAGAAGAAGAGGAAGAAGAAGAAGAAGAAGAAGAAGAAGAAGAAGAAGAAGAAGAAGATGAGGAAGAAGAAGAAGAAGAAGAAGAAGAAGAAGAAGAAGAAGAAAAAGAAGAAGAAGAAAAAGAATTAGAAGAAGAGGACGAAAAAGAGCAAGAAGAAGAAGAAGAAGAAGAAGAAGAAGAAGAAGAAGAAGAAGAAAAAGAGGAAGGTGGCGTAGGGCGGAGGGTGGCGGTGAGGCGGGGGGAGGTGGAGAAGGCGGAGAAGGCGGGGAAGGCAGGATCCCCCCGCCCTTCCGCGCCCATCCCCCCGCCCTTCCGCGCCCATCCCCCCGCCCTTCTGTTGTTGCACTTTTTCCAGTCGGGCCACTTTAGGCGACCGGAAAGCCAACAGGCTGTCACGCAGGATTTTGTATGTGATTGCAATAAATTAAATAATGCAAATCCCTTCCTGTTGTGTGTGTTCGACTTCGAGCAAGACCCTTCAATTGCGGTCTTCACCGGTCCCCGGTCTTAGGAATCTTTTATTTTGATTCGGAACAACAGAGAATCATGCAAATAATAGTCATAAAATTGTGGAGTGCTATGCATGCGTCAATTTATATTAATCTGATTTTGAGAACTGTGATAGAACCATCCATAAAACAATCATCGGGCAAGAAGGATGCAAGAAGCAAGACCGACTAACTCGAGCAATGACAGAGTCAAATGAATGAGGGAATAATGAAAACTCATAAAAGTCTCAAGGAGTACACATGGAAGAAAGCATGGTCAACAACAATCAAGAGTCCTCACTCATCCCTCTGAACTTCACACTCAATCTCTCATTTTGCTGTCTGTCGTTTGGGCTTCTTGCCATGTCTTCGTACTCTCTGAGGTTGTGACCTCTGAATGTAAAGCCACCTGTAGCCTGCTACTTCCAAACATTTTCATCCAAGTTCTATGATACGAAAGTCAAA